CAGTACAAATGATTCAAGAATTTGGCACAAATTTGGGCATCCCTTAGTGTCCGAAGGGTTAAATCTCAGTGCTACCACCACTGTGGCCTGAGTTCGATCCCCAGCCAGGGAGCTGACCCACACATGGCATAGCAGATCTCTCCTGTCTCACCTGCTGCTCCCCTCAGCAGTGTTTATCAGTAGATCTGCCTGCTCTGCTCCCCACTCTGTCTCTGGTGAATCCTCTCAGCCCCACACCTCTGGCCTACACCCCAGTTCTATGCAAAAATAAAAAAAATAAATAATTTGGCAAAATTTGAGGGTGGGTTATAGGAGTGTTTCTGGAGCTAGAAGCTCTGAATTGGGGAACTTGTGAAAATGACCGGGATGGATGAAGAAAGATTTCCTTGAACTTAACCTAAGTTCTGTCTGGAATTTTACTGGATTTCTACCACTGACTGCAGAAATTTAGTCAAGTCACTCTCCCTTTCTCTGAAAAATGAGATGTTTGGACTGGAATGCGCTTCACCTCTTCCACACCCTCACCAGGGTATCATATATATTTTCATTCTTCAAGGTTGTGGAGCAAATATGTTCTTCACAGAGACCTGGCAGGAGAGGGGGAGGCCCATTTGATGTACGTTGAGTGGCCATGTCAAGGATGAATTCTGGGTTTAGAAAGAAGATGCCCTGACTGTGGAGTAGATGGTCTAGCGAGCAATGATATGAAAGCTAATACAGATTCATTCAGAGAGCCTGTATTAGTTGTTGGTCTTGTTCCATGTGTTACTTGCTTAAATGTCCTTTCATAACTCCCCCCCTCTTTGTGAGGTAGTTCCTTCTTGACATTTAAGTGACACTTCCTCCAAGAAGCCTTTTTTTTTTTTTTAAGATTTATTTATTTATTTATACAAGCACTGGGTACAGTCAGAAGCACGGGAGGGTGAGAATTCACCAGAGCCAGAGTGGGGAACAGAACAGGCAGATTGAGGAAATACACTGCTGAGGGAAGGAGCAGGCGCAGCAGGAGAGGTCTGTTGCGCCATATGGTACCCTCTCTGGTGTCCGGGGATCGAACCGGCGCTGCAGAGGCTGCGGGTAGCTTCGCAGCCCAGCGCTCAACCGCTGTGCCACCAGGGGAGGCCCAGGAAGCCTTTTTTAATGCTGCCAAGATGTGTGGCATACCCATAATGTATTCCCTTGGCCCTTCTCAGACTGTTTCACTCAGTATTTTAAGTACATATTGTTTAGTGTTCATCCATGAGACTCTCCTCTTCCTGAAGAGGTCCATCTGTTTGCCTTTCTGTCCTCAGTTCCTGACACATAGGATATATGCTCATCAAATATTGATATAAGGAGAGGAAGAGTTGTGCTAAAAAAAGTAATTTTGGAGCTAGATTCTCCATATTTAAATGATGGTATGCTTCTTAGAAGAGGTATTTCTTGGACAGGACACTGAATTATTCTTTCAGTTTTGAACGGAACATACAAGGCATAGTAAACTTTAACAGTAAGATATTAAGTTAATGGTACATTTTTTGGCCATGTGTATGTTCCTTTATTAATCTATTCTAACTCTTGAAGCTATATCTTTGTATAAAATTGTCTCTGCCTCTATTATCACATTTTACCTGATTCTGGAAAGTTCGGCATGGGGTTGCGGGGAGAGGGGGCATTGAACCATTCCATCCTGTCAGTTCATGGTTCCATTAAGGAAATATCTATTATAAGTTGAAGTTGGGGTTAAACTTCTTACCCCTGAATCATTAACAACAGGGAGTTGCCAGATATATCTGCAGAGTATTTGGTGGCAGTACACATTTGAAAAGATGTGAACTTGTACTGCTGAAACCTCTATAGTGCTATAAACCTTTCTATCAATTAAGAAGTAAATAAACAAAATAAAAACGAAGAATAACATAGCCTTCTCTCACTGTTTTGCCAAGATTATCTCTTTTAGTCATCAAAATCAACCTGTTAGGTGCGCATTCTAGTTGTTTTGTTAATGGTTGCATGATGGCAAGTGTACAATGGCAAGTGTTGGTCTTTAACTGGAATTCAAACCCCAGGCAGGCTGCCTCTAGCTTTCTGCTTCTATAGAACTCAGGCCAATAGCAAACCACATTGTTGACTTCTTGAGCATTTGGGTGTGGGCTCCTTGGAACAGGGAGTAGAACATTTGTAGAACATCAGTCCCTTTCCCTGAGACGTGTTTGGGCTAAGACAGTGAGTCAGGTATGCCTTCCAGGTATGTCATCTTCCATGGGACATGATCCCACCCTTTCCACACCAGCATCAGCCACAGCCTCCCACATACCACCTTGAAGGAAAAAAATTGAGTGTCTTTGTGTCACTCTTGTGCCCTACCCACTTTTATTGTGGAGGTTGCACAGCTTAATTCTTTGCTCTTTTGTTTGGCTTTTTTTATTAAAGTTCTCTCCAGAGCAAAGATCACAGGGACTGTGGACAGCAAGTGTCTCCCAGGTACCAACTGCTTTACATGTGTCTTATTGCTGAATCACCCTATTACTCATAAAGTAGGAGCTATTATTTTTGCAGTTTTGCAGAAGGTAAACAAAAGCTCAGAGAACTTGAGTATCTTGTCCATTAATACGGAGGCAGCAAGTAGGGTGAACTGGGATGCAAAGTCAGGCTTCTCTACCTCCATACTCTGTACAGAATATCCAAGTCCTCCCTTACTACTCTGTTCCCATCCATGTCTCAGAGAGAGTGAGATGGGTGTGCTATAAATACCATCTGAGTAAGTGGATTGACGATTCAGAAAGATTAATATTTTAGGATTTCTTATCAAAAGTGTTAAATAACAAAAAATCCAACTGAATTAACTTTAAAGATCTAATTGGATTTATTAAATGATTCATGAATTGGATAGCATCCCATCTAGCAAATAGAAAGGTGCTCTGAAAAGCTATTCAAAAAGAAGGGTGCTTGGGTCTCCCCTCGTGGCGCAGGCAGTTGAACGCTGTGCTGTGAAGCTGTCCGCAGCCTCTGCATCGCCAGTTCGATCCCGGCCGGCTGGTAAGGGTCCCACATGGCACACAGACCTCTCCTGTCTCACCCGCTGCTCCCCTCAGCAGTGTATCTCAGTCAATCTTCCTGTTCTGCTTCCCACTCTGTCTCTGGTGGGCCCTTCACCCCTCCACATCTCTGTCCTATACCCCAGTTCTTTTATACATAAACAAACAAACAAATAAATAAAATGACTTTTTGAAATTTGTATTAAATGTGAAACTTCAAGGGTTTTTGCTTTTGCCCTGGGAGGAGAGAATGTCCTAGTGGACATGTGCATGAAAGGAAGACATGATTCCCTGCATGTGCTGCAATTTTGGGACTTCGTTCTGGACTCTTTTCTTTCTCTTGGCTCTTTATTGGAAGCTGTTATCACTTCAGTTCCCAAAACAAATGCTGCCTGCAGTGGCTGCCCTGTGCATTCATCAGGGCAGAGCACTCTTGAGGTCCACAGCCCTAGTGATTGAGCTGAACCCACAGGAAGAGTGACAGTTGGGGCGATTCCACTGCCATCTTGTTAGATATGATGCTGCTGTAAGTGCAGCTGGAATTTGGGTCTGCCCCTTCTTTCTGGCTTTACAAAAGCCACCCAGGAGCCCAGCCAATGTTAATGACTTTCTAGCTTTCCCATTCTAAGCCCGAATGAAGTGTGGACCTAGAGGTGAAAGGTTCCCTACCCCATTATGAATTCCCTGAACCAAACTGTTCCCCATGGTGTCCTGAGGAATTATTTTCCCATTTAATCTAATTCAGCAAGGTTTCTCTCTGGGATCTGCAGTGAACATTATTTCTTTAAAAATAATTTTTTTGAGAGGGAAGAAACACGTTTTGTGACGCTGAAGGTAAGCAAAAAATGTATTTGACACCTCAGGTAATGGGGATTTTTTTTTTTTATTTTTTTGGCCATTGCTTTCTGAATCTCCTCAAATGAAAATTGTATTTTTACCATATATCATTCCCAAAGGAGCTTTTCATAATTTAAATCCTCTGTTCAACTGTACATTTAGAATGGGAGTCCTGACACTGTCCTGATTATAGCATACATGCTGGACATTACAGAATTTCTCTCTGGAAGCATTCTAATTTTATTCACTCATTATTAGCATCCTAGCAGAGGGTTGCATTCTGCACCCTGAACTGGGTGCTGCCTTCTGATGGATTGTGGCAGCCAAGGCAATGAAAATTGGGGGAATTTCCCTTCCCATTCTCATTTGTAAATGAAAAAAAAAAATGTTTTTCCCTTACTCTTTAAGGGCTAGTTTCTTCACATATTTCAACACAGAATGAAGTAGAACCCATCTTTAAATAGGTTAAGAGGGCCTGCCTGGTGGTACAAGGGGTTAAGCCTAGTACTGTAAAGCTGTCTGCAGACTCTGCAGCATGGGTTTGATTCCCGGCTGGCCAAGGAGCTATCCACATGGCACAGCAGACCTCTCCTGTCTTGCCCGCTGCTTCCCCCAGCAGTGTATTTCAGTCAGTCTGCCTGTTCTGCTCCTTACTCTGTCTCTGGTGAATCCTCTCACCACCCCCCCATACCTCTGGCCTGTACCCTGTTCTTGTATGCATAAATAAATAAATCTTAAAAAAAAAAGGCTTGCACATTCAAAGAGTACAAGAAGGCTGCATTGGTGTGTATCTCAAAATGCACAAAAAAACAAGAACAGCATGAGAATAGAGCTAGTGGGAGACAAGGAGAGAGAGAATGAAGGAAAGAAGACAGAAGGGAAGAGGGAAAGAAAAGGAAAATCAGAAATTCTATTACTTGAAGTAGGGAACTTAGACACAAAAATTAATAGTAACATCTAAATAAAGCTTACGAAATAAAGGGACCTGTTAACCTACTTGTTCTAATTCCTCAGATGATCCATTTTGTACACTCAAGAGTTGGGGGGATGCCTACCGTTGTTCTTTTACATGCTTTTGAAAAGCAGTGATTTTCTTTGAAAACCTGTTGCTGTGAACTTTATCTTTCTTTCTCCTCGTTTTTCCAGGAAATTTTGAGAAAAAGGAAAGCCAATGGATCACAGTCTTAGAATAACTGCTTAGAAGATGTCTATTTTCTGTGCTCTCAGCACAGGGCAGAGATGTAAGTAAATGCTCAGCACTGCATGATGAATTGGATGGCTGCAGACCGGAGGCAAAAAAAATAATTGTCTCATTTTCGTGGTGATTTGCTTAACTGGTGGGACCATGCCAGAACGGCTAGCGGAAATGCTCCTGGATCTCTGGACTCCATTAATAATATTATGGATTACTCTACCCCCTTGCATTCACATGGCTCCAATGAATCAGTCTCAAGTCTTGATGAGTGGATCCTCTTTGGAACTAAACAGTCTGAGTGAAGAACAGCGGATTTTAAACCGCTCCAAAAGAGGCTGGGTTTGGAATCAAATGTTTGTCCTGGAAGAGTTTTCTGGACCTGAACCAATTCTTGTTGGCCGGGTAAGCTGCATTTTTTTAAGACCCCAATTTCAGGATCTGTTCCTGGTCTTTAGATCTTTAACATTAGACTTGTCACACTCTTCACACTACTTAGCTATAGCTACTTTAGTGCAAATGGTTTGTCAGTCTGCTTTTGGTTTCTTTAGAGCTAAGACTAACCTAATGATAGCAGTTTAAATGGAAACAAACTGCTGTTCTAGGCTAAGCCCACTGCCCACTATTAATGATACAATACTATCTGTGTAATGCATACACAAATAAGCTTACTCTTGCCATCACACATAAGAAATCTGCATGCCACACCTTTTCTTGAGGTTATCATACTTGGAAGAGCTATGCATTTTTGCCATTTTTGAAGTCCTACCACCTCAGTTTGAAGATGGTATTTTGAAGCCATATATCGCTAACTGCATGAAGATTTTTTCTTCTTATTTTTATTGTATTTATTGTTTGAATCATTAACCTAGGACAGAGCAAGGGAAATTCTCAGAGTTGGTGCTTAACTGGGTACTGTGATCACCATGTCTTGTTAAAGGAAATTACTTCATTCATTTCATAAGGACTCAAATGTATAGATTCTAAATTTTGGTTTACTGTTTGGTGTGTGTGTGTAATTTAGTAGTATAGATTTACATTTTTTTTGTTGGAGGGTTAGACATATATTCCTTGTGTAGATGAGTCCTGTCTGCTTTCCAAAATCAAGCTGGGTTATTGAAGATTCTACACTTATTCCTCAAAGCTGTTCATAAGCTTCTGTTAATTTTTACACACACCATTATCATAGGTGGACTTCCAATTATGAGCCCTCCATCGGTTGTTATTTTTCTAATATGTCAGAATCAGATATGAATCATGCCATTATTAGTCATTTCCCAAATGCAGAGATTGAAAAGAAAAACAGGAAAGGATTACATATTGATATTCACGACTTGAGTTAAGTCTTTGTATTTCACTGGAGCTTGTGGTTATATTTCTGCTCTGCCTTACAAAGCAAATTGAGTCCACTAGAGATTGTGCTTTCTCTTTTTTAAATAGTTTTACTTGAATGAGTGAAGCCTGGATGAACAGATACCGTGAATCACTCAATGAATATTTGTTAAGCCTCCCTGTGTGCCTAGGAGTATTGGAACTATTTTAGGCATATCATAGGTTTGGAGGATGTATGGGGCCATATTAATGAACAAAACAGTGATCCTGCCTTCAAGGAACTCATATTCTGTCCACTATTGATTGTTCATTATGTGCTCAGCACTATTGTACCTGTGCTTTTCCAGCACAATCCTATTTGAATCTAACAATAACCCCACATATGTCAATATGCTTATACGTGTACCTCTATCTGTATAGACAAATATGTGTAAAACAGGTCTACACTTCCTTTTTCATAAATCCAAGATATAAAATCTCTGTGGGATATTTTGCATGCTTGATACAAATTAAGGTAGCAGAACTGACGAGGCTATTTATAGTCATAATGCATCCCATTACTGTGACTGTTCATATATCTCCCAGCAGAAATGTTAATGCGTCTGATGACAGGGTGCAGCCCCAGTCCCTGCTGAGGGTGTTACTTACCAGGCAGTGTATGCACCTTAATTCGTTTCCAAATGTGAAAACTTCTGAATTCCAAAACACAGCTGGCCCAGTGAGCTTTGAATATGGTCTTCTTGATCAGCGTTATCTTTTTTGGTAAATGTAGGAGCTGAGGCTTAGATGGATAATAAAGCCAATCAAGTTCATAGAGCAGGTAAATGCTTTGAGTTTGAATCACGTTGAGAGTTTTATGGGCCACAAGTTTACCCACTCTCCCCTTTTACAGTTTAGTAACTGGCGAGCATGTGTTTAAACTGTAATTTGCATGCAAGAGTTATCGACTATAAAATGCAAAATCCTGACGTTCCTGCTTTCTAGATATTCAGAACTTCTTTTACCAGCCCTCAGGCAAGTTGTTTTCCGATCGTATGAAATTCTGGATATACCTGCAGACATACAGAATGGATGGTTACTTTTTCATTTCTTTTAGTTAACTCAGTGCAATGGCAAATGATCAATAGCCACACATACTGCGTCCAGAAGAACTTTCCATTTTTATCTGAATAGGAAAAGTAATTAAAGTGGAGTTTGTTTTAGACTCATAGAATCTGATGATTAAAGTTAAATTTAATCTGAAATTAAAATCTCTATTCTTTAAATGAAATGATAGAGTGAGAAGCATATGGTCAAGCATTCTGTATCCTCTGCTGACTTAGTAATACTCAGAAAACTCATGCTTCTTTGAATGACAGAAATGTTGCTGGTGAATCCTAGGATTTTGAAATGGCTCAGCTTCTCCTTAATCTTTGTGAATTGGCTCTTTGCCTGTTCTCTACCATGGCCAATTCCCAAACAATTATTAAATCAGGGTTAAACTTATTCTCTAAAGAATTTTTCTGCCTACATTTCCAATTATATGGATTTCCCCTTTGAAAAAATTGTTCCTGAATCATTACAGTTCAGCTTTTGAGGGTCTTGGGTTGCAGCAAAGCCAAAAATACATTTCAGGTGACTGCTTCATATTATGAGTCAGGCTGAGTGTGGGGATGATCTGTATCAGGGTGCCCACCGGTGCTTTACAATGTTTTATCTCTGTGCACACTCTTCCACATCTGACTCTAAAACACTTCATTGCTGAGCTTCTCTCCAGGAACTGGCTGAGAAGCATTAGTTACTGATGAGCTTACCTGCTCTTTAAAAGGCCCTCCTGCGACTCGCCATGGCGGGGGCCTGGGGTTTGGCAGACTGAGTTCAAGCTCAAGGGCAAAGCTAGTTTTTGAGTGATTGGCTCTTTAGAGCTTCACATACACCCTTCCATCATCCATTGTCTGTTTTTACTACTTTGGTAGGCAGCTGGGTGCAGAGAAAAAACTAAGACTGCAAATAAGAGTGTGTAAAAGAATATAGGCATAGTGTCTGGCACATAGTAATTGTAGTCATAATTGTATTTGTGTGTGTGTTTGTATGGTTGGAGAGGAATACTGATCTACTAGTGACACTACAAAGCGAGTATAAGATGTTGGATGTTTACTTAGCCCAAGTTGCTTAAGGTAGAGGTGACATTTCAATGTGTCTGGAAGGGGCCTTATCACTTAGCCTGGTGTTCTGAGGTGGAGTGGGAAGTTATGTGCCTCAGTTGCACAGAAGACCATGTGGAACAACATGGAATTGGGTAAAATGATTCAGGGCCCCTTTGGGGAGAAGAAACATAAGTCTGTGTATTTCCTGTTGAATTAACATTAATTTGAGGGTCATAGTCTTAGAGACTCCTTCTCTGCACCATGCTGTCTAATATATAACTGTTGCTTCTTCAATATTTCAAATCCTTTTACTCTGATCAGTTTTTTCTGCTTCCCAATGCTCATTGTCTAATATACTCTATCTTGTTCATGATTTTTCTCTACTGGAGTGCAAATTCAACCAAGAGAAGGATTCTTATCTCCTTTGTCCTTTAGTGTATATCCCCAGAACCTTGAGTATGGTCCCTAAAAGGGCAGTATTAAAAATAGGAAACTTCTTACTAAATATTTTGCATGAAAAAATAAACTCAAATTTCGCCTAGATAATAAAGGGATTTATAAAAGCAATATGAACCCAATCGAATTGAATACAAGTGGCATTTTTCAATAAAAGTGGGCAATATCTTGATGTCGTGTTTTCTCTTTTACTTTGGCATTTTAGAGACCAGCTGGATATTTTAAGCACTGTTTTTGTATACTGATTTTGAAAGTCTTTCTTTGAGACAGTGATACTGATAGTGGACAAGTTAACATGTTAAAATAGTTCTTTTTTGAGGAGACTGTGGGATCTCCTCCTGGAGGTTCCTTACCTGCCTCAAACCATGCAGGGTGGTGACTCTATTCAATCCATCTGCAAATGTTTGTGCTTATGGCACAAAGTAGACGTTGAAACCTTCTTTCTGAATTTCTGAAAAACAGATTGCAGCCAAACAGACTCCATTCCTGCCTCCAGTTCTCCGTGGAACAAGGTTGTTCAGAGCCGGTTTGTAAAAACGTAGTGAGTGTGCTGCATCACTTAGACTCTCCAGCATTAACTTTCTTTGGCAGTTCTGGCAGAATAAGATGGTGCATGGGACCCTCTCCGGTATACTAAGTTGTTCTAGCCTTAAAAGAGAAAGAGAAACTCACGATGACTTTCATGAATCTTGTAACTGTGTCAAAAAAAATTCATCTTTGTGGAATAATGCATGCAGACTCTTTAAGGAGGGCCTCTTGATCTCATCATCAGAGACCTTCTCTAGATGTCAGGAGAGTGGGTGAACAAGTCATTCCACAATATTGATTGAGCACCTACTATCTGCTAAGCATTCTGTTTCCAGGGGGTTCTCATCTCTGAGCAAACATTCATGCCCTCTGTCATGGAACGAACGGACTACTAGGGGGAGACAGATATTAAATAAACACACGGACAGATGTCTTGGTAACACGGAAAACTGTGTTCTAAAGTGAAGGGATATGGTTTTATGTGAGCTTCCACAGAGGACCTGGCCTATTCTGTGGGATGTGGAATCCTCCCATGGAAATAACCTGAGAGCTGAGATGCCATAATCTGGTGAAGCAGAGTGAGGGCAGCGTTTCCGATCAGGAGAATGCACGTGTGAGGTTATTTGAGGAGCTGAGAGGGTCAGATCAGAGAAGACAGAGGACCAGGGTGGGATCTTTTGAATCACAGTGGAAAGATAAGCAAGGATTTCTTGGAGATCTGGCTTCTTTCTTTTTCATCTCTGCTGTGGGGTAGCTGGAAGAGAAAGTCACCCACCCTCACTTATAGTGGTAGAATGAATTGCAGAATTATATTTAAGGTACAAATCCCTGTGGAGTAGAAAAAAAGAAAGCATATTCAAAAACAGTATGTGTTGCATCCATCAGGTTTTTGACCCAAGATCTTTTCGCTCTTGTTCTTTCCATCTGTGATCTGCAATTTGTGGTCCCGGTGGACAGAGATCT